TTTTTGATTATATATTTAATTAATAATAAATAATAAAAGATTTAAGTTAAAATTAATAAATATTAAATAATAATATAAAGATAAATAAATAAAAATTTATAATTTAAGTTTAGTCATTTAGTTATTTGCTAAAAATTTACTTAAAGATTTAGATTCTAGTTAAAGATTTAGTCAAATGTAAAATTGATGAAAGTTTAGTTATAATAAAAATAGTTTAGGTAGGCATCATTAATTGAGAATGTAATTTTCTTTTAACAATAAAGCTATAAAAGTATCAGAATATTATACATTACTACATATGTCAAAAATATGATTATACTATATTTTTAGGTATTAAAAAAGAAATATAAAAATTGAATTATTCACAAATTTGTGTTATATTCTCTAAATTTAAAAAATATAATAATTAAAATTATTATAAATCATTATGAACTTTTAATATTTTTAAACTTTTATTACTAATAATAGTTTTCTTTTTTTTTGTTATACAAAATACAACAAATATTAGAATATTTTAATGATCAGCTCCTTAGTTATAATAGCATTATCTAAGTTTTTATCTGAATTATATTAAGAATTTATATGCTAAATATAAAAAGTATTTTTTAACAAAGATATACAATTTGTATCAAAAGTAATAGTAGATAATTTTTTAATTTAACATAAGCAATTTTATAATAAATCTAAATAAAAATTTTTTAAAAAAAAATGTAAAAGTTATAGTTATAACTTTTATTTATTAATTAATATTTAATATATACTCCTTTTACATTAATATATACTTTAATTTGATTTAACATTCTATTAATATAGTTAACTATTACAGTATTGTTGAAATTTATACTATCATTTTTTTAATCTTTTTTTTAATCTTATTTTTTAAAATAGCTCAGGCATTTTCAATCAGATTAAGATCAAGATTATATAAAAGCTAAGGAAGAACTTCTTTTTAAACATTATAAAAAGTGTATTTCAAGTCATTATCTTACTAAAAAATTCAGCAATAATTTAATAATTCATTGCATTATTATAAAGATGATTATTAAAAATTTAATGATATAAGTGATGATCAAATAAAGATGTGATGTCTTTATTACTATTACTTTCAATATAGATTGTATATAAAAATGTATATTAAGACATATATTGATAGAAAAAAAAAGAGCATAAGTAATTTATGATAAATAATTTATGATTCTAGTAAAGTCATAATATATTAAAAGAACTCAAATATGTAGATCAGTCTTCTAATAGTAAGAAATTTACAATCTTAAAATCAGAATCATATATTTAAATTAATATAATAATGTATAATGATTTTTAAAATAAACAAAATTATTAAATTCCTTTATCATATACATATAAAATAATTAAAAGTAGGTAGATAAATTTAATTAAATTTTGTTATATGATATCACATGATTGAATTATTTTTGATTTTATGATAAAAGGGAAAAAATCCCCCAAAATTTAATGATATCATTTCTTGGTGAAACTAAAGTTTTGCCAAATCCAAAAATAGGTTTAGACAAGCAACTTTCTTAAAGTACGTGACTTCTTATATACTGAGTAAACAGAATGGTGATATAATTTCACATGTTACTGCATTCTGTATAATTCGGCCCCAAAAATCACGTGCCGATGATTAATTTAGGCTGTGACAATGGCTGTGCATCATTTAAATACCACATTACCCTAATTTGAAAATATAATTCGGTTTACTTTTTGAACCGATTCGATGAATTTGTTATAAATTTCCATATAAATTTCCGTAATAATGGTGAGAGAACCTTCTATCGCTCTAAAAACTATTATGCCTTTTTCGGAGAATAGGGTAAAACAAAGAAGTTCAGATTTAGAGGACGAAGCTCCTTTAATTCAAAATCGTTACGACGATTGGGCAGAGGTATATATAAAAAAAGTCGATTTTTTACACTTCTATTATAGAAAAAGTGGTTTCCCGGCTTTTAACCTTCCCCATATGTTAGATTCCTTTTAACAGATCCCATTAACAGCAATCGGGAATTCTTAAATGTCACTAAACAATGGAAGACATTAAATTTCCGCCGTGTAAACAATATATCAAATCAGAAAAAAAATAAAATAGAAAAAATCATATTGACAGAAAATTAATGTAATTATTTGCTTTGAATATTAGGAAACATCATCTCCAGTATCTCCGAGGAGACGTCGTAATGTAGGAACCTCAACATCTACGACTAATATTTCATCATCTAGATCTCCACAAGCCAAAGCACGTACAATTTCATTTCATGCATCAGGTATGTTTGCTTTTTCTGTTTATTATTATTACTACTACTGCTATTATTATTATTATTATTATTATTAATATTATTGTGAATAATTTTTAGATAAAATAAAAGATAAATTTCCGCCAAATGTAGTCCGAAATCAAAAATATAACTTAATTACTTTTTTTCCGTTGGTATTTTATCAACAAGTAAATAACAATTAAATTTTTATAGATGCTTGTTAATACATCTTTAGAAAATTTAATACTAATTCTATTTCTTATAATAATTTTTCTTTTAAGTTTCACATATTCATTAATTTATATTTTCTTCTCGTTGCATTATCTCAATTTATTCCACCATTGAAAATTGGTATGAAAATGTTATTAAAATTCATATTCCTAGATAGAAATTGATATTCAAAAAAAATGTCTTAATATATTTTTAGGTTATATTGTCACGTATTTTGGTCCATTATGTTTTGTGCTTCTTGTAACAATTGGTAAAGAAGCGTATGATGATTGGAAAAGGTTTAAGCGAGATCAAGAAAATAATTCTCAAAAATATGAAATAATGACTCGAAATGGGATTAAACTAGTACCCAGTTCAAAAATAAGAGTCGGGGACTTAATTCTAATTAATAAGGATCAAAGAGTATGTTATGGTCTAAACATTTACAAGTTTGTTAGTAATTTTAAGTATTAATTATATTTAATTAATTTAATGAAGGTTCCTGCAGATTTAATATTGCTCCGGACAACCGAAACAAGTGGTGCTTGTTTTATTAGGACTGATCAGTTAGATGGTGAAACTGATTGGAAACTAAGGTTTTTTTTCCATCTCGATATTATTATTTTGAAATTTTGAAATTCTCATATTTATTATTTTCGTTTATTGTCATAGGTTGGCTGTGCCATATTGTCAAAAGTTACCATCAAATGAAAGTCTTCTACATATTGATGCGGAAATATATGCTGATATTCCACATAAAAACATTCATAATTTCATTGGAAATTTTTCTAAATCAACCCCAGAAAATTTGGTAAGTTATATTAAAAAATTCCTCAAATAATTATTTTTTAAAAATAAGATTAATTTCTTTGTTGCTACCTATTATAGACACCGCATATTGATGCCCTTAATGTTGAAAATACATTATGGATGAATACAGTATTGGCATCAGGTACTGCTATTGGATTTGTGATTTACACTGGTAAAGAGACTCGAGCTGTTATGAATACAAGTCATCCAGAGACGAAAGTTGGATTACTTGATCATGAAATTAATCGGCTTTCTAAGGTCGGTCGGTCTTGATAAAAATGAAAACAGTAATATAATTGAATTTGTAAATGAGATAATAATAATCAAATATTATTTTTTTGATAGATTCTGTTCGTAGTTACATTATTATTGTCATTGTTGCTTATTGCTTTGAATGGATTTCGAGGACTCTGGTATATTTATTTATTCCGATTCTTGATTCTCTTTTCTTCCATTATTCCAATAGGGTGAGTCTTTTATTTAATAAAGTTTGCAATTCATTTAAATTTTTTTTATTAATAATATATTTATTTTTAGTTTACGTGTCAATTTAGACATGGGTAAAACTGTTTATGCGTATCAAATCATGAATGATGATGAAATTCCTGATACGATTGTACGTACCAGTACAATACCTGAGGAACTTGGTAGAATAGAATATCTTTTGTCAGATAAGACTGGAACATTAACTAAAAATGGTAACAATGCTAAAAATATTATTAAACTCTCAAAATATTATTTATAACCAATTCAATATTAAATAGATATGGAGCTCAAAAAACTTCATTTGGGAACTATGGCCTATAATATTGATACTATGGATGAAATTTCTCATCAGCTTGAAGTAGCATTTGGAAAGCAGCAAGGAAAAGGTATTATATTACGTATAATACATATTAATAATGTTTTTAATTTAATTTTGAAATTTAATATTAATCATTTTCACATCTAAGAGGCACATATACCGAGAGCGACTCGAACTGCTGTCCCTACTTCTACTATTATAGTTGGAAGGAGTCGCAGAGACATGACTTCGAGAATAAAAGATATTGTACTTGCTTTGGCATTATGTCATAATGTGAGAAAGTATTTTGATTATTATTAATTAATATAATTTTTTGATTAACGCCATTTTATTTATTTATAAGGTCACTCCTGTAATTGATTCTGATAATGTGATCACATATCAAGCATCTTCACCAGATGAAGTTGCTATCGTGAAATGGACAGAGTATGTTGGTCTTACTCTTGTTTTCCGCGATATCAATGAAATGCATCTTCGTACAAAACATGGTGATGTCCTCAAGTTTCAAATTCTGCAAATATTCCCATTCACTAGTGAAAGTAAGAGAATGGGAATTATTGTAAAAGATGAAACGACAGAAGAAATATTTTTTTATGAGAAAGGAGCAGATGTTGTAATGAGTAAAATTGTACAATACAATGATTGGTTGGATGAAGAATGTGGAAACATGGCCAGAGAAGGTTTAAGAACTTTGGTCGTTGCACGTAAAAAAATATCAGCAGATGTATATAATGATTTCACACATAGGTAATGATACAAGAAATTTTCCATACTTTATTTTTAAATGTATTTAATTAAAATAATTTATTTAATAGATATCACGAAGCAAAGGTGAGCCTTTCAGATCGTAAAGTTCAAGAGCAGGCTGTTATAAATGCAATTCTGGAAAACGAGCTAGAACTTTTGGGAGTAACTGGAGTTGAAGATAAGCTTCAGGATGGTGTAAAGACCACTTTAGAATTATTGAGAAACGCAGGTCTAAAAATTTGGATGTTGACGGGAGACAAGATTGAAACGGCAACATGTATCGCTATTTCTTCAAAATTAATCTCTTCAAGGAATCAAATTATTCATCAAATATCTAAACGTAAGAAATCTATACACTTTTTTTTTTTTTTTGAATTTATAATTGTTATTATAAATATATACTCATCTAATTTATTCAATAGTCCAAAGTATTGAAGCAGCTTTGGATGAATTAGCTAGTTTACAAGCCAGAAGAGATTGCTGTTTAGTAATTGATGGTGAATCACTACAGCTTTATATGGATCATTGTCAATTTGAATTTATTGAACTGGCCGTAGAATTGCCGGTCGTTGTTGCCTGTAGATGTTCTCCTACTCAAAAGGTATTTTATAATCAAAATGATAAATAATTTTATAATTTTATTTAGTTAAATAATATATGTTACAGGCTGATATAACAAGACTCATTAAGAAATATACAAATAAAAGAATTTGCTGCATAGGAGATGGCGGTAATGACGTTAGTATGATTCAAGCAGCTGATGTTGGTAAGTATATATTTATTGTAGGAAATCTGACTTATTTGATATTTGTATACTAATTACGTTAATTAAATTTCAGGCGTAGGAATTGTAGGAAAGGAAGGCAAACAGGCTTCCTTGGCTGCAGATTTCTCAGTGATTCAGTTCAGCTATTTAACAAAACTTTTATGTAAGTAAAAACTATTGCTTTATTTTGTAAATTAATGTCAAATATTTATATTTTTTATAATATTTTATTATGTTTATTTAATAATTCTCTAGTATGGCATGGTAGAAATAGTTATAAACGTTCTGCAAAATTAGCACAATTCGTTATTCATCGTGGTCTGATAATATCAGTTATACAAGCAGTATTTTCTTCAATATTTTATTTTGCTCCTATTGCTCTTTATCAGGTAAAAAAAAATAACATATATTTACTAGTTAATATTATAAAAACATTTTTTAATCGAATTTTGTATTAAATTAGGGGATGTTGATCGTTGGATATTCTACAGTTTATACAATGGCACCGGTATTTTCGCTCGTTTTAGATAAAGATGTGAGCGAGGATATAGCTTTACAATTTCCAGAACTATACAAGGAATTGACAAAGGTAGATAAATATTTATTTCAAATTATTTAGCATATACAAATTAAATCTTTTCATCTTTTTAATTAGGGTCGATCGTTATCTTTGAAGACTTTCTTTCAGTGGCTAATGATTAGTGTTTATCAAGGTATTTTATGATTTTGTTAATAAAAATGATTTTTTTTATTTGGTTATATATATAGTAATATTGCCTATATTTTTTTAGGTGGCGCAATTATGATTATGTCAATTGTACTCTTTGAGGATGAATTTATAAATATCGTTTCTATTTCTTTTACTGCTTTAATTCTTAATGAATTGTTGATGGTTGCTTTTGAGATCAATACATGGTATGTAACTCAAAATTAGAAAATTTTTAAAATCTTATAAATTTAGTTTATTAACTTACGCATAATTAAATAGGCATAGGTTAATGTTTTTATCAGAAATTCTTACATTAGCTATTTACATTGTTTCCATGATATTTTTACCTACTTATTTTGGTAAGTAAAACAATATTATTATTATTATGGTAATATAATTCCTTATTCTTTAATATTAATTTTTTAAAAAAATATTTCCTTTAAAATAGATTTACTATTTATTTTGACTGAAACATTTGTTTGGAAAGTTGCTGTAATAACAGCAGTTAGTAGTATTCCGTTATATATTATTAAATTTTTAAGAAGAAGATATGCACCACCTAGTTACTCTAAACTTACATAAAAGGTAAATATTTGTAAAAAATAATTTGACTGGGAGATTAGATAAATTAAGAATCTTGTAAATCGTGGATCTTAAATAATTTATATATTATTTTAAAATAATAAATAATTTATTCATCAACGCTTTGTAAAACGTACAAGTTTTATTAATTTATTCGCTTGTTTTAATAAAATTAAGCATATCCGCTGAGATTAATCTATGTACAAATAAAACATTTATTATATCCTCCTTTTAAAATCTGATCAATCTTACAAAGATTTGTTAATCATAGATGTAGATGATCACACTTGAATCTTTCCGTCGAATGAATGTACATGTGTTTTGCGAATCTTTCCGTCGAATGAAAGTACACGCGTCATGTATTTTCTTGTGTCGTAAACAATTATAAAAATAATAATAACTGTTCTCACATCTGGTTTCTCATCATGTGTCCTAACATGATCTTTCATGGAATTCCAATCGACTATACCGTTTTCCACAATCCTTATCGTACATACGTACGGTCTTTCCCCGGTATTCAGCTTTGTGCTTTTACGTAACTCTTCTCACAACAAAAAAAAAAAATTTTCTTATTGATATTGAAGGATTCTTTCATTTCAGCATAATATACTGCAATAGAATTTAGGATGTTATTAGAAATTGGGAACTCGGACTTTTAAGAGAAAAATAAATAAACAAGACAAGAGTTTTGACGCTCCTTACTTTTTTTTTAAGCTTAGTGTTTTTATGTTTCTTGTTATCTTCATTTTCAGCATTATCATCTTCAGATTCATCATCTAGCCCTAGATTTTCCATGTACAGTATATCGAAACCTAGATGTTAAGGAGAGAAAGTACAATTTTTAAATTAAAATAATTCATTACAGTATTAGGAATCCAAATAGATAGATTACCGTTTCTGCAACTGATTACTTCGTTAATAGCGTGTTCCACTTTTAATGAACTGTTAATCTGCAAAAACAGAATTGTTAGAAGTCTTAAATTAATTATTTGAATATTTATTCAAGTGACAATCTTACCCGAAGTTTAATATCATTAAAATATTTGTTATTCATGATAAAATTTTAGGGAAGTCTAGCTACGAAATTTGTTAAAGCTACCTCAACTGTTTCCCTTAAAAACTTGTATGAAGGAAACTGATCTAGAACACAGGTTCTTTTGACTTTTATAAAGTAGTAAAAATTTGAAGAGGATTAAAGAGAAATAGAAAAGGGGAAAACGGCTGGAAAAAAAAAATAAAAAATGCATTAATGCCCCTTTTTATTGACAAAGGTCCTATATATTTAGAAACGCGAGAATAAACACGTGAAATGCAGCTGACTCCACATGTCGTATTTCCATTAGCATAGGGAAAGTCTAAATTTAGTTATAAAAAATAACATAAATATTATTGGCAAATCAAAAGCATAGGTTAATGATATCATTGGCTGAAGATCATCGGATTGTGATTGGCTAAATAACGTGTGATATTTCTGTATCACATTTAATTATTGCATATATCGTTTAATTTACAATGACAAAAAAAATGAAGATTCGTATTCTATACAAAATTTGTAATAAATAAATAAGTCAATTTCGTCAATTTACTTTCCTGGTTTAAAAAAAAGCATAAGAAAATGGAATCTATATGGGGACCAGTCCAGCAAAAACCGGGTTCGGCAAATCACGTGATTTCGAGAAAATCCCAGTTTAAAATTATTAATTAATTTTAGTAAACTGCAATTTATTCTGTCATTTTTAAAGATTTTTAAAATTGGTTTTTTGTAAACTAGGATAAAATTTTGCAAGGAATTTATTAAAAGCATTAGTTTTTCTTTAGCAAGTTTATTTCAAACATTAAGTATAATAATAAAAAAATACAACAATTTTAAATTATAAAATATTATATTTTTTTAATATGCTATATATAAATTTTTTTTTATTTTCTAAAAAATTAGATCAATAAATATGTAATTATAATAAAATTTTAAAATCAAAATTTTGGCTGAATCTTGGCTTTTGCTGGACAGGTCCCCATATACTTTACACATATCTAAAAATTGGATAACAGTTATGTTATATTTATTATATAAATTAAAATTATTAGAAATTCTTATTCCTATAGAAATAAATAAAATAAATAAAAAATGATAATATATGGTAAGTATATTAATAAATTTATATTATTTTACAAATATTACTTTTTTTTATAGAATCAACAAAATGTTATACATTTATTGAGCGAATTATAATACTTATAAAAGATTTATATCAGTATTAAAAAAATGGTAGTATAGAATTTAATCTTAATCATTTTTAACAAATAATTAAAAAAGCTATTCTACATTTACAAATTTTTTTAATTAAATAATAAAGGTATTAGTTTCAGATAATAGATCTATATACAATAAAGTTAAAGCAAAAAAATCAATTATAAGTTTATGCTATATTATAGCTAAAATATAAAATAAATTTGTTAATAATTTTAAATTAAAATTAGGTTATATTTATTAATACTAGAAATATCATGTATTATAATTAATACAATAAATAATATTGATCTTTCTTTTATTATGTAATAATTAATAATTATAAATAAAAACTTGTAAATTAATATACTATAAAAATTAGAGAATTTTTCTAAACAAATGAGTATATATTTTAATAATTTTTATATTAAATATAATTTTTCAATTTGAAAAAAATTATATTTTATTAAATTAAAAATAAAAAAATAAAGTTTTATAATATTTTTATTGAATTTACTTGATTATTTATTAAAATAATTTTTTATATATTTATAATTAAATAATTATCATAATATATATAAAAAATAAAAAGTTTTAAATAAGAATATTAAATAGTTATAATCAATAATATAAATCACATGATATAAACTAATAAAATTGATTTATATAATCATATTATAAGCAAAAAAATTTGATTACAAAATAAAAAAATTGTGTGTTTAGACTATTTGTACTATATTAATTTTATTTATATATAATTTTATAAATTAAAATAATGTATAATTATTTAATTAATAATAAAATATTATCTAAATCAATAAAAAATAATTTATTTTACATTATATTTATTGTATTTCTAATTTTATATTATTTCTATCTCCAAAGAGATTATTATTGATTAAAAAATATTATATAAAAATTTTATACAAAAATAATATATTTTCATTCATAAAAAAATCTATTATAAATATGAATATTAAAGAATTATATTCAATCTATAAAAAAATTATATATAAATTAATAAATATTTAAGATTTTAATTCTCATATACTATATATAATCTTTGATATTTAAAATAATTAATTAAACTACTAATTTTAAGATGTTAAAGAAGTAAAATAGCAAAAAAGGAAAAATATTTAAATAATATATAAATTAACTTAAATATGATTATAAAAGAAAATGTTAAAAGAGAATTAAGAAAAAAGGTAAATAAAAAATGAGTATTTTATAAAAGCTTAAAAACAAAAAAAATTAAAAAAATCAGTAGAATCTACTTAAAAACATAAAATATAAATTATCTAAAAATGTGAATATAAGCATATAATACATAATAATAGGTAAACTTAATTCTATTAAGAAATACTAAAGTAAAATCAAATTGATATAAATAACTTAACCACATATTTTAAAATATTAGTAATTGATATTTATAAAAATAAATACAAATTTCTATAAAAATTTCACTTAAAAATAGATAATATTGATTATAAACTTTATATTAAATATAATGAATAAATTCTTTTAATAATATTTAAAGATAGTCCTCATAATTATTTTCAAATTTCAATTGAGTTGCAACTTAATTGCGACATAAGAAAATTTAATTGCGTCACAAGTTGCAACTCAATTGCGCCATTTTTTTTAATTGTGGTGACCATCTTTAATAATATTTATCAATAAAATATACTATTATTGCAATAAAGAAAATAAATCACCAAAAAGATTTTCAAAAAAAATAATATAGACTTAAAAAATTAAAACTCTAAATTTGATCTGATAAATTAAATAATCTAATAGATTAACCTGAAAGTTTAAATCAAATCAGCTGCAATACCTATCTAATCTTATCTGAATTTTTAATTAAAAATTTAAAATTTAATAATTTTATTAATATTAATCTGTTTAAGATAAAATAATCACCATTTAAATTCTTATATAGAGATGAATCAAATACAGTCAACTCTTTCTACAACGAATTTTGATATAACGAATTTTACAATACAATAGATTTTCATTGTCAGACAG